GTTCACGGTATTATATTTATGCGACTTCACTTTCAAGATGGATAATCATGGCTGTTATCATAGTCTAATTCTCCTATCCATACGGGAAAAACACTAAACCATTAGTTTCTTCTAATCGTTTCGCTGTCTTCGAGCGAAGTGGACAAAGAAATCAAACTCGACACCTCTTGTGACGTTCATAATATAACCAAAGAATCTATTGTTTACCAACAATATAAAAACATCAGGATGCTGTATATATCAGATGTCCTATTGGAATTAGATTCCCGCAAAAGCATTACGAATGTCATTCAAAATGGCCATACGCTTCCGCTGTTGAAATTAATCCAAATACAAATAATAAAAAAATTCTTAATGAATCATCAATGCTGCACACAAGAATTAAAGTTGAATTATCCACTAAGACTTATAGTGATTCACCTCAGTATCTAAAATGACATAGCTACGGTCACAATGTTAACTATTAACATCGCCATACCGGAAATAACGGTGATCCTTCATCTTTCACGCTGTGTTAAACGCAGGGGAAATCACTCCTGAAACAGTTACATCAAAGAAAAAGGCAGTTTAACCAAGTGCGGCTTTTGCGCGGGTGATCATACTTCCAACTATAAAGGTTGTCCTAAACATAAATTACTTCTTAAACTTCGCAAAACAACCCACTTGTAATCATCAAAATAAAAATATTGTACTCACGTCTCCACTTATCAAACCTCTTTTCAAAGCTTCTTGCGCCTCCATCACTGGTTCTAATAATATCCTATTACCTAATAGTCGTATGGACGATATACCATTTTCCAATTTATCTCAGGTCTTCTGAAATTAATAAATCTAATATTTTACCTTCTTTTATGATTACAGCTCTTCTACGCAATCACCTTACTCCTAAGCCCAAATTCTTTTCTACCTTATTCATTTAAATGATCACGTTTTTAACCACTTGATATGTTATCCGTTACTTGTACATTTTAATCGGTAAATTAAAATTAACTCTTATTTTATAATTATCTTAAATTATTATATTTTACTAATACTATTTTATGATAATGATTATTGTATATTAATGTTAAAATGCATACTTAGTTATCTTACTTTATGATTTAATTGTTGAGCTATAGTAACTTTGTGTTAAAATTTAAATAAAAAATAAAAAATAACATAAAAATTATAGAATGATAATATACATATTAAAGAACATCATTATTATGAATTTAAATAATATTTTTCTGTATGAATAGTAATAGTTTAGAAAGTTTTTGTTGATTTATATCTAGAATATAAATAAAATAGTATCTTAATTTTTATTTTGTAAAATTTGTAGATAATTACAATACCTGCCCAAGACAGACATTGGGACAGGAATAGTGAATTAGAGCAAGACAAATGTAAAGAAGTATATATAAAAATTGGGAAAGAGTATAATGTAGGAATGGAGATTTGTATTTCAAAAACTATGGACCTGACTTTATTAATCAGCGGCAATAGAGTTAATGTTGAACGAGCAAAACAAAAGATTATCGCATACGAACAAACTCAAGTAAATAAGTTTTAATTAAGTTGGAATTAATAAGATAAACTGATAAAAATAATATTTATTATATATATATATATACTATATTGTTATGTACAAATTATGAATTATTTATTATTATTACTATTTTTGAATATTATAATACATAAATGTGCTTAATAATGAAATATGTTTAATAAATCATTTGTTATTTTATAGTTTTTTTTACGGATAAATAAATAAAAAAAATTATTTTTCTTTAGCAATTTAACTAAAACATTAAAATTTCAGATTAAAACTACTACTGCACAGTTTCCAAAAGAACATCGAAATAAGTTATTAGGCAAACAAGGACTTAATCTTAAAAGTATAGAAAAACGTACAGGAGCACGTGTTCAAATTCCGTGCATAAGAAATTCGTCTGACATAATTTATATAACTGGAACAAAGGATTCCACGAAAAAAGTAGTTCAAGTATGTATCAAAAATATGTGTTAATGAATTGGAATTTAAGTTTAACACATTTAAATAAATTAATTTTCGAAAAGAATGGCTGGAATGAATAGGTTGGAGAAAAATTAACAAAACAGATAATGTCTATTTTTAAAGTGGTTAATTGTGACCGTACTAGTTTATTTGTTTTATTAATTAAATTAAAAATAAATATTTTTATAAATATTTGAAAATTTCCCGATTTCTAAATTAAAATGTCGATAATTTTTATTATACTTTTATAGTAAAAAATAAATTAATGAGGATTTTATTATTGAATTTTGATATAACTCTACACAAATTCAACGAACTTTTAATTTTAATTTTAATATTATAGGTTTAAAAGTTTTCAAAAGATTTCTGATGTTTTTTTTTTTAAAAAAAAAAATTTACAAGTATTATGTATTAACGAAATCGGGTATTTTAACAAATTTCCATCAAATAGTTTTTTTCGTAATTTTGTAATAATTGAAATTTTTGTTAGGAATTGGAGGAAATTATAATTAAGTTGAAAAGTAAAATTGAAAAAGAAATAACAATTGATCAACGTCACCACGGAGCGATAATTGGATTCAATGGTGAAAAAGTTCGAGAACTTCAGAAAATATTTAATGTTAAAATTATATTCCCCAGTCCAAGTAATTAATAGTATTAATAATATTAATATGTTTGTATATTTTGTATTTTGAGAGTTTATAAGTAATATTTGATTCGATATTTTAGTTGAGGCTAGAAATAATTTAGTTAAAATACAAGGTTTGAACGATGATGTAAATAAAGCATTTAAATCATTAGCTGAATTGGCCGAAGTATTGGATGAAATCAACTATGTGTTGGAAATTCCTATTTTTAAACAATTTCATAAACTTAGTGCTAGAAAGAGAGCAGTATTTATTAAAAAGGTAATTGTTATTTATTAACTTTTATGATTCGACCTTTAGAAATATTGTTATTTATATAATTTAATACTCTAGATTAGAGAAGAGACTGATACGAGAATTTTTTTACCACGTGAAGGAGACAAAAGTGATGTTATTAAAGTCATGGGAAATAAAAGAAAAGTTTTAATCGCTTATGATATGATTAAAAAAATACAAAATGAAATAGTTGGTTTTTTTATAAAGATTATTTATTTTTCAATTTTATTATTAATTTGTCAATCATGTATTTTAAGGGAGACATAATAACAAAGGAAATTGTGTTGGGAAATGTTAAAGTTAGAAATGCCATTGTAAATCTTGGGAATAAATTCATTCAATCTATAAAAGAAGATTGTGGTAGTAATGTGACATTGAATTTACCAACTGTTAAAGGAGATAATGTAAGAATATACTTATTTATTAAACTTATAAATTAAAATGACAATTTAACCAATTGTATAAGTTACTATATGCGTGATATACGCTTAGACATTGATTCGAATTTGGCCTTTGGTAGTTTCTCTCTTTGAGCAGGAGACGATTGTTTCAAGAGAAGAAACTGCTTCCCCTCCCCTAATACAATAAGTAAATTGTCATGAAAATTTCCCAAATGCTAAAATCTATAAAAAAAATAGTAAGAACTTATTTTAAAGCAAAATTTATTTCATAGACTATAGTTATCAAAGGACCTGAAGATGATGTTAAAAATGTTATTACACAAATTCAGACAATGGTTGATGAAGTTCATAAATATGTGTGTGATTTAAAAGTAAATCCGAAGTTTCACAAATATTTAATTGGAACAAATGGAGTCAATGTTAAAAAGGTATGTTGTTAAAATAATTTAGTATAAGGATACAATGTGTTAATTTATGATTTTACACTTGGATTCCAGATCAGATATTTAACAAATACAAGAATAATTTTCCCTCCTGAAACTGATTTCACTAATGAAAATATAACTATTGTTGGTAAAAAAGAGAATGTTAATTTAGCAAAAGCAAAACTTGAAGTGATGATAGCCGATATTAGTAATGTCATCAAAGAACGTGTAGTAATCGATGAAAAATATCATGGCACTTTAGTGGTCAATCAAAAAGAATGTTTAAAGTTATATTAAGACAAACAGCTAACCACTGATGTATTTCAATAAATGATTTTTTCTTGTAACTATATTCTTGTGTTTTTCTTATAAAAATTTAAATGCATATTTTTGCATATCAGGGTAAATGAAATGCATATTTTGCATATTTAGTGCATACAAATCCTACTTAGCCTAGTAGTCCTGCTTATTGCTACTTATTCCGGTTCGTTCGCACGTGCGCTAAGATTTTCGAATAGCATTACAGTATTATTGTTAGGGTCTCAAACGGATTTGTTTTTCGTATTATTTTAAACGTTCGGAAACGCTACGGACCGATTCGCGTAGATGGAATCGTTACAAGAGCGCACCCAAGGGGGTGGCTAACGGGCTTTAGCCCCCCCCCCCCCATAATGGCTATCCCCAAACATTTTGATAATTTTATTAGGCTTATTGACAATTGACATTTGACTTTAAATTATTATAAAAAAAAATTATCAACTATAGTATATCAATTATTTTATTTAAGCCACCTTCCTACTTAAGAATCATTTGAGTATTCTTTAAATAAACTTTTATTTTTCTGCAAACGTCTGAACCAACTTTGTTCTAAATGGAATTTACAGCAAACTATTTTACACTGCGGAAAACTCTGAAGAACAGCATTGTGTGCAGCTTTAAGATTTCTGTACATATTTCAAAATAAATTCTACCTATTAATATTAAAATTATTTGAATTTAGCCCCCCCCTAAAAAAAAATCCTGGATACGCCCCTGAATCGTTATACCACTGTACGATTTTATTGCGGAACATTGAACACGTCTTTCGGGTGTATTCGATCAGCGTCGAACTGTACCGTAACATAGGTATCCTTAAAAAATGACGTCTATTCATCGTCCACGGCGTGTAGCGACGTTTACCGCCTCACGGGCTTTTGGTCGTCGGGTTTCGTATGCACCGCGAAGACGGGTATTGTTTCGTAGGCAAAATACTCACTCGTCGTCTCCTGATAAAACTCGCCCCTAGCTTGGATTCGCTGCCGCATGTTCTCTTAGAACGGGTCCTGGGCGTCCGCCACAACATGTTAAATCTGTCGCATTCGCAAAACCATAATTACTATTTCTTCTCGACAAACACAACGCGAACAAACTATATTATTTTTCATGCGGTCCGAACGTAACAGAGATGCGCTTACAGGTTTTTAGTCGTCGATTTGTCCGCCACCGGGTTCTTGTCTTTGGACGTTGCCGCGGACCCGGTCTTGAAGTTCAACAGGGTCTGGCGTTCGCCGTAAACGGTCTGCCGAGAGAGGAGGAAAAAACGTGAAAAATAAAAAAAGAAAAATCTTAATTTTGATCATCGCTGTTGCGGAACGCGTTTAACCAAAAACAACGCGTGCGCTTTACGAAAATAGCGCGTGTTGTTTAAATACCTCTTTGAGCTCGTACGAAGGAGTGTTGTCCGACGATTCAATTTCCTCGATCAACGGTTCTAGTCGGACCGGTCTTCGTTTAGGAGTGGAAGACGTGACTGCCGGTGCAAATAACGGTTCGTTTTGACGTTCTTCGGTATAGTTCACCTTGGACAAGCACGCAGAAGTATTATTTCACGGCAAACGAAATGCGAAATAAAAATTAAACTATTTTTCACCTACTACGCTGCAGCGATATCGTGAGGTCACATGTTGCAATTACCATACGTTAACGTTTAAATCGTTTTAAAATATTTGAAACGCGTTTTGTTACAATCGCGTTTCATAACACTGTAATGTATACTACTATAGTTATTATACCTATCTAAATTTATAATTAGTTAATCGTCTATATGTCTTTCTCTTTCTTTCTTTTAACGTTTACATTTTTAAACGATTTCTTGTTTAATTAAATAAAAATTTATCGTCAAGTTTCGAGCTTTGTTAAGAGAAATAAATAAGTCATACAAGAGCAGTCGAGTATTTTATATTTGTAATACTGATCAAAACTGCCAATTGGATAAACTATTCTTTCATAAATGAACTACCATTGTAATAAAAGACTTGGTAATGAACTATTCGTACAGCGTTCGTAATTTTTAAATGTTTAAATTGTATTTCAGTTGAAACTTCGCGCGGTTCGAAAATATTAAAAATACATTAATTTGAATTTTTTAATGGTTTTAAAAATGTTCTTCTTCGAAAAAGAAAGCGGACTGGGCAAAACGACAGTTCCATTGATAATTTACAGTAATGCTAGTAATTCAATCAAGTGCTATTATTTCATTCTGCTAATTGAAATTATTACAGTCGGTCGAGAAAGGTTATTGTTTCCTAAGCAATGCGATTGGTTTTAATGGTTATTTTTAAAGGCTTTAATCTATACGGACTATGTGACTGTTTACTATGTACGTCTACAATGATCATCAGTTCAAAACGCGTGTCGTCTTACTTCGACGGACAGCGGAGAAGTAGTGCTGCTGTTGGGCGTACCCCAGAATTCTTCACTCGAAGCGTCATAGTTGTAGTCTTCGTCCGTCGGAAGGCAGCAGCTTGACGTAACAGGACAGAAGTCATCTGGCCACCTGTAGGCGGGCGAAAAAAAATGTAATGTATTAAGAAATATTCCTTCGGGAGGTAAATTTTAAAACACAATGTTATGAAACTCATGAATGTTTGATTAAGAATAACATGCATTTCAAATATAATTAGAACCGATCAAAGTAATGCATTTATGATAAAACGATCTATTGAAAATTATTATTACTACTGTCGAAAGACGGACTAAAAGGAATACGCCGAATATATCAATTAATTAATAACAGAAAAAAGAGAAAACTAGAAGACTATTGTTAACGATTAATTTAAATATTTTTGTGCGTACAACTAAGTGCAAGTACAGCGGCTAATAACGAAAATGAAATTTTTCGTGATTAAATATAATTATTAAATACGTTTCACGCATCGATGTTGATTTGAAGGCGTATTCTATACGGGCCATGACTTGAGAAAATTATAGGGGAATGAGCGAACAGAAGAAATATATTCTTGTGAGGATATTTACAATCATCCAATGTTACATTTAATTTTATCGTGATTACATAAGGAGTGTTTAGAAAATTTTTCCGGAGAACTATTATTGTATGACCCTATACGTAATATAGCGATGGGTTGAGCTTAAAAATCGTAAAAATGAAATGTTGACATTTACATAAATACGATGAACCGTACACCAACAACAATCAAAATATTATTTTCAACGAACACGTTTTTAAAAATGAATACTTTAAATTTTTCAAATTTTAAATACGATTATAATAACGTTTACCGAAGCATTATAGTTCTTGGAGGGATATGAAACGAGAAAGCATGTTCTTGCGATTAAGTAGGGATGACAATCGCAATATTATAGTTTCCCTATTAACACGTGTACAAACGTTATTATTATTTTTTTTTTTTGATTACGAGTATTTTTATTTTTATGAATATTAAAGTTTATTCAAAGTTCTTTGCAAAATTTGTTTAATGCTAAAACCAATATTGGTGTACACCGAAGAGCGCACTGCAGGATTTGATAAACATGATCAGGGATAGGCTTTAACTAAGCAGTGGGAGATTTTAAAAAAAAAACGTTTTGGCTGATTCGATATCACCAACATTATCTGTTCGTGCGACGGAGTACCAAGTCTGGACGGTTTGGCAACCGTAACGAAATGATTAATTTACGAATTAAATCGTTTGAAAGTATAATGTGTAAAATACGTGATTACCTACCGGTAATCCGAAGTCGAACAAAATTCCACTCTGTCCAGACTATCCGTTGAACGGTCGTGATTCGCGCCGATCCTGTCCTGGCTGGAAGACGACGAAAACCGGAGCTGTCGGATTTGTTGTTGTTGAAAAGGGTGGTGATGTCGTTGTTGCGGCGGCGACGAACCGAGGACTACGTACGACGGTTGTTCCGGTTCAGATCCTTCGTCGTCGTCGTCATCGTCATTGTCGTCGTCACTGTCCTTGTCGTCAATGTTATTGTTGACAATATTGTTGTGGTAGCTGGTGTTGTTGTTGCTGTTTCCGAAAGGTTCGCAGGGACTTAGATCGGCGGTCACGGACACCGTGGACGGTTTCCACTTGTTGTCCGGATCCAAGTCCAGGAACGCGTCCGAATTCTGATTGCCGTTGATGTCGCAAGTCATTTGACATTTGTTGCACACGTTTTCCGGTACGACGGTTTTCTGCGGGCACAAACGAATGCTAAATGTTCTATTTCGCGTACGACGAGCATTGCGAAAACAATAATTAAAATCTGACTCGTAAATTATAACCGGTAATACGTGAAACGTCTAGCAAAAACTGTTCATCACATCACCAACGTTTTATTCCGGTTATTTTGGTTCTGAGCGAAACGAGAAACGTATTGGTTTTACCACGATCTGTGTGCGTGTGTATTTTTTCTAATCCACGTGTGTGTTTTCGACTAGAAGGATTGTGATGATCGTCACAATCACGAAAGATTTCTGACAGAAAATGTTGTCTAGTTAGTACATCGAAAGTGGTTATTTTACGAGTTTCCCTAGAGTTTCTTAAATAATTGCAAATAATTTTATGAAAAGTAACTGATATCAACGTTTTCAATTTTATACAGTTTTCGATAAATCAAATAATTTATCAGACATGACATTTTCACTAAATGCTTACGTCACTGTTCAAACATTTTCAAAAGATTTTTTTTGGAGCTATTTATAGAAAATTACATTTTCACTTAATTTTTTTTCTGTAAACGTCTACAAAATAATTTTTATTTGAAGTCTTGAAAACGTAGTATAAAATGTCTCATATATATATATCTATAACCGATAAAAGAAAAATTAATCTTAATATTAAGAAAAAAACTTACGAGTGTTTATAAAATTAATTTTGACAAAACTAAATAATCACGAAAATTCGCTACGTTGTTGTAGTAAAAAATCCATAGTATTTGTGTAATTAGTCTTGAAAATTAGACACAAGCATTTTCATATGATTTCCTTCGTAGCAAATAAAAAAGAAAAGATTTATGGAACGCTCTCCCAAATGATTTATGAGCACGAAAAAATGAAATTTGATCGAAGTGGGATGTTCTAGCAAACTTCCCTTAAACGATAATAGCTATTGTGTTTAAAGACATTTAATAGTTACGAATTATTTTAATGAAGTTTCTCCTGTTCAAAGGCACTTGAAATTTTCGATTTTCAAAATGTTTGGATTCCTTTTTTGTGTGAACGTTAGAGCATTAACAGTTCGACCTACTTTACGAAGAAATTTGGTTTTTTTACTGGGTACATAAACCGTCTGTGGAAAAATTAATTTATCCATCTAACCGGACTCATTCACTCGGAATAATTTTCTTTATATTTGATGGTTCGTTGAAATACCACAGTATTATCATGGTAAGAAAAGGAGCTGTTGTACAAAATAAAAACACTTTTTCAAGCGTTGACGATTAAGTTTACGTAAGGCAGTGTTCGGCACGCACGGCGTTTTTTATAGGCAATACAGGTACGTTGGTGCATAGGTATAATATCTTACTAAATATTTTGTTGCCCCAACTGCACTAATACCGTATGTTGAACTCGTTTTGAGTACGGCATAATTGTTTAGATAGCGACCTGGGCGATAAACAGTTCGAATCGGCGGGGCTCAGTATTACGTGGGTCATTAGCAGGGCTAGGATTTGTATGCAACAGCATGTATTCTGATTGATGATTTTGTCAGTAATGTCCACGAATCACCTCATGACGAGATAAATGGCGGTGTTTTTATTTTGCACGTTTTTGCATATTTTGGATAAAACGCATATTATTGCATATTTTGAATAAAATTAATATTATTGCATATTTCGATTATAAGAATGCGAAAAATTAATGTTTTATAGTATATTTCGTGATTAATATTTATGGTATAATATTAATATTTCGTATTTAATTCTGACCCTGCTCGTTAAAGGATAAAACTTGATTTTTTTATCAAACATAATTTTTTTTTTTTTTTGGTTTTGTATTATGTTTTATTCAATCTGTTTCAAAGAGGACAGTAAGAATAATTGATGATATAGAATAAGCTAAAATAAAGATAAAATGATAGATTAAACAGTTTGTAGAGGCCTCCCATTGGATGTACTACGATACGAATAAGATTTATTTGGACCAGCAGAAAATGTTTATTTTATTTCTCGATTATATTGTATTTAGACAAACAGCCGACCACTGATGTATTTCAATAATTTTTCTTATTTTTTTTTTTTTTTTGTAACTATATTTTTGTGTCTATCTTAAGTTAAAATGCATATTTTTGCATATTTTGGATATTATATTTTATGCATGCATAAAATGTATATTTTACAATTTTTTATTGCACACAAATCCTAGCTCTGGTCATTACTGCTGGTAGCCGGTAAACAGTTCGAGTCGTGTACACCGAAAGCCGTATGTCTTTGTGAAATCTTTCTTGGACATAAACTCCACCGGTTCCTTTTCGATTGTTCTTACAGTGTGTACTCGCGCGATGTCGATTATTATCCGTAAAGCACTTCAAACACTAATCCAAGTCAATCAGAGTCTTGTTCGACGAGCCAGCAATACTTGTACTGATTATTTCTCTTACGTTTCGCGACAGTTTCGTCGCCTAAACCGACGAGAACTTTCCGGCGACGAACCGCCTTCAAACTTATGGTAATTTTAATTTTCGCTTACGTTCTATTCGTTTTCCAACATCTCGGCCCGTTTTATTCAGTCAATCAATCCGTTACTACTCGACCGCTCGTCGCTCAGAACCGTTTTTCGAAATATCATCCGATTAAGATTTCATCTTTGATCCGCACGTCAAACCATACCCCAGGCACGTATCACACGCAAATCAAATAAACATACGTATATACTTACTTGGCTGTCGTCCGGGCTGCTGACTACCGACAGCGTTTCGGCGACGCACTCGATCGTCACTTCGCCACCGGTATCGTCTCGGGCCATCGACGACAACCGGCGCTGGACCTCGGCCTGTACAGCGTTCATCCGTTCCGCGGACCAAAGTTCCAGATCTTCTTCGTCCCCGTCGCTTCCACCGTGCCCGTCGTCCCCGTCGTCCCTACCGGTGTTGCGATACCTCCGACCTCCACCGCCTTCCCACCCGCGACCGCCGCCGAGCTCGCCCTTGATCCACTGCGATATGTGCAACGCCTTGCCCTTGTTGCACGTGCTGCTCTTGGTCATCCGTTGACACCGCTCGTCCACCAACGACTCGGCAAACGACTAGAAACCCACACAGACGGCACACACTGTTTTTTTTTTTTTTTTTTTTCCTGCGAGTACAAACGATTCGCGTGGTGGCCGTCGGTCGTCCCGGTCGCGCGACGCCATCAGTACAGCCGAGTTCGCGGTGCGCCGTGCCACGTCGTCGATCGGGTGGTACGCGTGCGATCCATCGGCATCTATATGCTATCTATATACTCGTATGCGAAGCGATCGCACGCGACACCGCGATTCGGATCGCTACCGTGCGGTCACCGACA